CAACGTCTCCAGGACCACCATTGTCTGGCACAACGTCTCCAGGACCACCACTGTCTGGCACAACGTCTCCAGGACCCCCACTGTCTGGCGCAACGTCTCCAGGACCACCACTGTCTGGCACAACGTCTCCAGGACCACCACTGTCTGGCTCAACGTCTCCAGGACCCCCAGTGTCTGGCGCAAACGTCTCCAGGACCCCCACTGTCTGGCGCAAACGTCTCCAGGACCCCCACTGTCTGGCGCAACGTCTCCAGGACCCCCACTGTCTGGCACAACGTCTCCAGGACCACCACTGTCCAGATCACGAACAATATCTCTATATTTCCCCAGATGCAAAAGTTACTCAAATCAATTTTCAAGAGTAATATGGGACTCGAACAAAGGGTCAGAAGGACGAACGAGGCAATAGGCCAAGACCACTCTGACCTCAGTCTGCTGTCGGGGGTTGACCTCGCGGCGGCATATTGAAACGTTCAATACATTTGTCAGCGAAATTATATCATTTCTCAATGGCAGGATCTGAAGGCCATATTCCGTGACTGAAGTCCGGATATGAATGAATACTCTGCAAGGAGAAGCGATTCTACCAATTGGTTTCTCCCTAATATGCTAAATATGTATGCTAGCTGTGTTTGACAACTTTTGTATGCCACTTAGGTATGCCAAGCGTGTGTGTGTGTGCCAACAATTTATTCATACTGGGTATGCCAAGTATGCCCCCTCCCCCCTTCCTTATTTACTCCTTAAGAGGACATGTATTGTCACTCAGATCCTCACAATACCGGTATAAGTATAAGTTTTACTTGTATAAGCTTTCCGTAGTCTAGTTCAAATGGTCTGTTATTGTTTGAATTTTTTTAATTCTGTGTGTTCCCATTGTCTTAATCACCGTTTTTTGGTCGTTCTGCTCTTTGCAATGTCAAGTAAACAGGTTGTTCGGTCTGGTCTAGTTGTAAAGCTGTTCGGTTTGGTGTAGTTGAAAAGCTGTTCGGTCTGGACCACTCATCGCATTGTTCGATCTGATTCGAAAACATACGGGCTGATGTAGTATGGATGTGTACGGTCTAGTCTATTCATCAAGCTGTTCGATTTAGTGAAATCAGTGAGCGTGTTCGATCTGGTTTAGTTAGTAAATGGTTCAGTCGTGTCTAGAGAACAAGCTTGCTGTTTGTACCAGTGAGCAATATATATAGAATGCTGCAGTGAGCTATATATATATATATTATGGTGCAGTGAGCAATATATATAGTATAGTGCAGTGAGGTCCTAGCAGGAAGCTAGAGTGCATTAGTTGCATTTGCCACTCGTGGATTTGTGCTCCATCGACGCTGGCTTTGTCATTTAATTTGCGAATTTCAATTATCATAACCATCCCGGTGTGTTGCAGAGGCAGATTATGCGAGCGTGAATTCTGCGGATTACACATTTTTGTTGATGACAATAGCGAGTGTGTGTCTCTCTCCTCTCTCACTCTCTTAATTCTCTCTACACGTCTCTCCACGTTTCTGCCCCTCTACATGTCTCTCTCTTCCTCTCCCTTCCTCTCTCCTTGTCTCTCCCTTTCCTCTTCCTCTCTCTCAATCTGTCTTCCTCTCTCACTTTTTTTTTTTAACTAAGGCTAGAGTTCATTAAGGTTATCAATTGAAGTTCCTAGTGAAACTGAAAGTCTGAGCTGTTATCCTGCCTCAGGTATCCTATCCGTTATCCTTCCTCCCTCCCTCCCTTCCTCCACTCTCTCCCCCCACCCTCTCCCCCCACCCCTCTCTCCCCCCACCCCTCTCTGTCTTTGTCTCTCTCTCTCATATATATATATATATATATATATATATATATATATATATATATATATATATATATATATATATATATATATAGCTTTGGTTCTCTTATTGTTTTTTGTCGTTAATTATCTTTTTCCGCATCATTTTCTGTTCCTATTTTGTTTTATTGTTGGTTCTTTTTCCGCACCGCACGTGTGGAGGCCTTCATTGTTTCCCCCATTCTGATCGTTCATTCTTCCACTCCAGTTGTTCTCTCTCTCTCTCTCCCTCTCTCTCTCTCTCTCTCTCTCTCTCTCTCTCTCTCTCTCTCTCCCGCTCTCTCTCTCTCCCTCATCTCTCTCTCCCCTCCCTCCCTCCCCCCCCTCTCTCTCTCTCCTCTCTCTCTCTCTCTCTCTCTCTCTCTCTCTCTCTCTCTCTCTCTCCTCCTCTCTCTCTCTCTCTCTCTCTCTCTCTCTCTCTCTCTCTCTCTCTCACCCCCCCCCCTCCCCCCCCCCTCTCTCTCTCTCTCTCTCTCTCTCTCTCTCTCTCTCCCCCCCCCCTCCCCCCCTCTCTCTCTCTCTCTCTCTCTCTCTCTCTCTCTCTCTCTCCGCGAGGGTTTCATCTGTCTGTCGTGGGATATACTTTTTAAATCCCCTTCTCGGAGTTCACATTTCTGAAGATATAGTTCCTGTTTTTTTGGATACACTGGACTTTGTATATCGTCGACTGCGGGGGAGACTGAAGCCTCCGGCCTGCGTCGGGTGTAAGAGAGGGCTGAGCGGCACCCGTTCTGTGGAAGAGGAGGGAACAGGAAGGGATTAGAAACCCTCCAGCAACAGCCGTTATGATGCATGGTTTCCTGTGGATATAACATAATCCCTTCCTCCCTCTAGCCTTCCCTTTCCTTCCTCCTTCAGTTGGAGGGGGGATCAGAAACCCTCCAGGGGCACCTGTCCTGCGGGGATGGGGGGGTGGGGGGTGGCAAGGTTTCCTGTGAACAACAGAATCAAAGTCCACATGATTAGAGAAACGCTACCCGTGCGTGGTGGCGCATGCACGCACGCACGCACATCCTGTCCTTGGAGCCCCGTCCTTTGAGCCCCGTCCTTTGAGCCCCGTCCTTTGAGCCCCGTCCTTTGAGCCCCGTCCTTTGAGCCCCGTCCTTTGAGCCCCGTCCTTGGAGCCCCGTCCTTGGAGCCCCGTCCTTTGAGCCCCGTCCTTTGA